CTATATATATATGTATGTATGTATGTATGTATGTATGTCTTTTTGTATCTATGTATGTATTTTGCATGTATGTATGTATGTACGGATGTATGTACGTATAGAGATGCGTATATTGTCATATCAAATCACCACATGCGTATATTGTCATATCAAATCACTAGTTTGTGGTACTAACCTCCTGGTTTAATACAATTGCTATTGGGGATAGGAATCTACATCCCAAGGAACGCAGGGGACAGAGCAGGCAGCCGCTATTGGCCCCTCACAACAGAGACAGACCCCTCTCAACCAGACGCCCATGCAAACACCTGGCCAACAGGTACCTACATATTTGTGAATATCGATTATACTTTTATGTGTACAGAGCGAATGAAATGTAGGTTTTACTGTTTCGGGCTTAGTGGTTAGTAAAACAAATGCGGTACAAGTTGTATTTGTTTGTGTAGGGTGTCTTGCTGTGGAAATGGTTTATATTCGCGTGAATGTAGGTTACAATCGAGTATATATAGAGTCTTATTGTGTGTATACGGATTATAACCGTGAATATATGGACTATAGTTAAATGTGTATGAATTGTACACGATCACGCAGAGATCTCACGTTAAACCGATACAACTACAAATGGGTGTCTGAATGTGCGTATTATGTCAGCAAACGTCGACGCAGTACTGCGGCTGCTTGTAACTAATGCATATATATGTAGTCATCCTTTCTTATATTCTTTAGCTTCATCATTCATGCGGACATGAGAAAATACACACAGATGTAGAAGGCAATGAAATTCCTTATTAGTCATATTCACGGGACAACATTTGTATACATTTTCATCCTGTATATCTTAATATACACACACACATATAAATATACATATATACATATACATACATACACACACACACACACACACATATATATATATATATATTTATAAATTAACAAAGTATGTGCATATACCCTTCATTTACAGGGACGTGTTCAGATGAACATGGAGAGTGGACAAGGGCAGACAAGGGTTTCTGCAGATGCGAATGTCACACTCACGTCCACACAGCCAGGTAGACAAAGACAAGCACAGGAACATGCACCATCACAACCACAACTAAAAACACACCGTACACAAACACAACAACATACACAACTACAACCACAACCTCGACCACAAAAACTACTACAACGACAACGACAACGACAACAACGACAACGACAACAACATACACAACAACATACACAACAACATACAAAAACACAACAACATACACAAACACAACCACAACATCAACCACAACCACAACATACACAACATACACAACAACAACCACAACAACAACAACATACACAACAACAACCACAACATTCACAACAACAACCACGACATACACAACAACAACCACGACATAATACACAAACACAAACACAACAACAAACACAAACACAACAACAAACACAAACACAAACACAACAACATACACTATCACAACAACAACCACAACCACAACCACAACCACAACAAAATGCACAAACACAACAAAATACACAACAAAATACACTAACACAACCACAACCACAACAAAATACACAAACACAACCACAACCACAACAAAATACACAAACACAACAACATATACAAACACGACCACAACAACCACAATCACAACCACAACCACAAAATACACAAACACAACGGCATACACAAACACAACAACCACACCCACAACCACAAAAATACACATCAATATACACAAACGCAACAACATACACAAACACAAACACAACAAAAACAACAATCACAACCACAACCACAACCACAAAATACACAAACACAACAGCATACACAAACACAATCACCACAACAACAACAACCACAACCACAAAAAAACACACAAACACATCCACAACAACATCCACAACCACAACCACAATCACAAACACAAACACAACAAAATACACAAACACAACAGCATACACAATCACAACCACAATCACAGCTACAACCACAGCAGCATACACAAAAACGAAAGCAACACCAAACACAAACACAAATACAACAAGGACTACATCAACATACAGAGACACAACAAACACAACCACAACAACAACAACAAGAAACACAAGTTCAACCACAGCCGCAGGCACAGGTGAAAGCACGAGTAAACAAAGAAACGTCTCCTGCAGGTGTGCAGCACTGGTCATATGCGTCTGTTTCAGGGTGCACGGAGCCACAGACACAGATACAAATGAATGGTAGTAGCAAAGGGCCAGTCCACGTATCACACGCTGGTGGCAATTCGAATGAAGGGCCCGTAGCGGGTGATAAGGTCAAGGTCAAGAATGTGAGCAACCAAGCAGTGGTAGGGGGAGATGAGGGGATAGCGGGTGCTAGTGCTATTGCTGGTGCAGACGTAGGTACGAATGCGGAGACGAGTGCTACTGCCACAACAACTACTACAGACACTACAGTGACCAGGATAAGTGGTAGCGGTACGAAGGCAACGGGGGGTAAGGCTAAGCCTAAGATGCCAGGGATGAAGGAGCCTCCCAAACCGAAGAAGAAGCAGATTGTAGACGAGGATGGCATTCCCGTGGCACGTACAGTCGAGACCAAGGGAGGGGCGAGAAAGAAGCCGGCTCCGAAAAATAAGAAAGTATGAATATATATA